GTGGGAGGACATGTTTTGTTATGTTTTGTTTTAGTGCAAAGGCAAATATTTAAGAAACACACAAATGAATAAGGAAGACACACACAGTTTTTTCTTTAAAAATTTTTTATTGGATTCTAGCTGATTTACAATGTGTGATAGTTTCAGGTGTACAGCAGAGTGATTCAGTTATACACATACTTGTATCTACTCTGTTTTTAGACTCTTTCCCCATATAGGCCATTACAGAGTACTGAATAGAGTTCCCTGTGCTACACAGCACGTTCTTATTAGTTATCTCTTTTATATACAGTAATGTGTATATGTCAGTGCTAATCTCCCAGTGTATCCCTGCCCTCCCCATCACCTGTTGGTTTTCAGTTGCTCAGTCATGTCCGACTCTTTGCAACCCCATGGACTGCAGCACACCAGGTTTCCCTGTCCATCACCATCTCCCAGAGCTTGTTCAAACTCATGTCCATAGAGTTGGTGATGCCATCCAACCATCTCATCCTCTGTCATCCCCTTCTCCTCCTGCCATCAATCTTTCCCAGCATCAGGGTCCACTATAATATTGTAAAGTAATTAGCCTCCAACTATATAAATAAATGAATATATATATGAATATATATGAAATGAATATATATATATATATATATATATCAGGGTCTTTTCAAATGAGTCAGTTCTTTGCATCAGTTGGCCAAAATATTGGAGCTTCAGCTTCAGCATCAGTCCTTCCAATGAATATTAAGACTTGATTTTCTTTAGGACAGACTGGTTTTGATCTCCTTGTAGTCCAAGGGAATCTCAGGAGTCTTCCCCAGCACCACTATTCAAAAGCATCAATTCTTCGATGCTCAGCCTTCTTTATAGTCCAACTCTCATAGTATACATGACTACTGGAAAAGTAATAGCTTTAACTATAGGGATCTTTGTCGGCAATGTAATGTCTCTGCTTTTTAATTTGCTGTCTAGGTGGTAACCATAAATTTATTTACTACATTGTCAGGGAATGTTTGATGGGAGGATTGCTACGTGCTGTCTCTCATGAGTCCTTTGTCCCTCTTCAAGCAGAACAGCACGCTGCTCCCAGGGACTGAGGTCATTGTGTGAGGCAGGCTTGAGTCTCCTTTAGTAAACATTCTCTTTAGGACAAAACTGCTTAGTCTCGTTCCCCTTTCTTGAGATATGGATTGTCTCCTGACCTTGTGACTAACATTACCCCTTGTTCCCTCGGTAACGGTTGCTGTAGGTTTGGTTTTCTGATCTCTATCATTCCCGAAAGAAGTTTCTTGTACCATAGCCTATATATACTCATAGAGAAATCATTAAAGCACCTTTGCTCCATCAGAGCTTAGGTCTCCGGGTCTTTTTTTGTCTCTCTCTCTCTTTCTCTCTTTTACTTTCATATCGTTGACTCCATACCACCAGGTTCCGGTCCATTAAAGGACCCCAACACTACATCTGTTGACTCTACTTCTCTATCATAAAATGTCATGTAGATTGGAAAGAGAAATAAAACTGCTTATTTGTGAAATGACATAATTGTCTGCACAGAAAATTCCAAAGTATCTCCAAAATCCTCTTAAAACTAATCAGTAAGTGGAGTCCCTGGACTGCAAGGAGATCCAACCAGTCCATCCTAAAGGAAATCAATCCTGAATATTCATTGGAAGGACTGAGGCTGAAGCTGAAAGTCCAATACTTTGGCCACTTGATGCGAAGAACTGACTCATTGGAAAAGACCCTGATGCTGGGAAAGATTGAAGGCAGGTGGAGAAAGGGACGACAGAAGAAATGAGATGGTTGGATAGCATCACTGACTTGATGGACTTGAGTTTAAATAAGTTTCGTGAGTTGGTGATGGACAGGGAAGCCTGGCATGCTGCAGTCCATGGGGTCGCAAAGAGTCGGACACAACTGAGTGACTGAACTGAACTGAACTGAAACATGGTTTCAGATAGAACAGAATATTAAAATCAGTTATATCTCACATAAATTATTAGAAATTGAGAAAAACAAAAACTGTCATTTATAATGGACTTCCTTGGTGGCTCAGACGATAAAGAGTCTGCCTACAATGTTCAATCCCTGGGTTGGGAAGATCTCCTGGAGTAGGAAATGGCAACCCATTCCAGTATTCTTGCCTGGAAAATCTCATGGATGGAGGAACTTGGTAGGCTACAATCCATGGGGTCAAAAACTTTAAGTTGATAGTATAAATATACCAAATATTTGCACCATTTGCATGTTGAAAATTATAAAATACTAGTGAGAAAGGTTGAAAAAAACAAATTGATAAATAACCTATAGTCCTAAACTGGGAGTCTAAACATTATGATGATTCTTTTTCTCCCCTTAATTGCTCTATAAATTTAAGTTAGTCAAAATCAGAAACACACAGCCTGGTTCTCTGTGACAACCTAGAGGGGCTGGATGGAGTGGGAGGGAGCTTCGTGTGGAAGGGGGCATATGTATACTTATGGCTGACTCACATTGTTGTATAACAGAATCCAGCACAACATTGTAAAGCAATTTTCCTCCAATTAAAAAAAAGTTAAAAATTAAGAAACATATTAAGCTTTTATTTTGTAGAAAGTTACATATTAATTTTAATTTTTTAAATGAATTTTATTTTTTAAAACAATATACATTTACAAAAAAAGTTTGAAGATAGTATAGAATTCCATATATTCTGAAATCAGTTCCTCTTTAATTTCTTTTATATTAGTATTGCACTTTTGCTGTAATTAATAAACGGACATCAATGTATTTTTAGTGACTAAAATCTGTAGTTTATTCATGCTTCCGTAATTGTTTTTACCTATGTCCTTTTTCTATTCCAGGATCCCATCCAGGTTACCACATGACATTTAGATGTCATGTCTCTTTAGGCTCCCCTTGGCTATTACAGACTTTCCTTGTGCTCGATGATCTTGATAGTTTTGGAAAGTACTAGGTAGGTATATTTTAGAATATCCTTCATTAAGATATGTCTGACATTTTTCTCATGAGGAGATTGGAGTTGTAAATTTGGGGAGGATGACAGACTGCAAATTTTATTACATCACATCAAGAGAGCAAACTGTGAGCATGACATCACTGTTGATGTTGCCTTTGCTCACTGAGGTGCTGTTTGGCAGGTTTTCCACTCTAAGGTTACTCTTATTTTCCCTCTTCCATATGTCTCTGTAATAATTTCTTTGGGAGGAAATCATTATTTGCAGTAAGTACTTAAGGAGTAACGAGTCCTATCACTTTTAGGCAAGAGCATCTACATCATTTATTTATAATTTTTCTGCACAGGAGATTGTTTCATCTCCCTCATTTGCTTAAGTATTCAATCATTTTATACTACTATGGACTCATGGATATTTTATATTGGGGTTATAATTAATACTATTTCTTTTTTGTGATTTTTGCTGCTTAAATTGTTCCAACTTTGGCCATTGGTAATTCCTTTACCTAGTTGACATACCCCTACAGTTTTAAGCACTTCTCCATTTTCTAGAACTACAAAAAATCTCCAGGCTCTTCTTATGTATTTCCTACCCCTATTTTAGAATCAGCCATTTCTTTCAAGTAGCTAAGATTTTATTTACTAAGTAATGGAATTATAATTAAAAAAATGGCCACTAAGTAGTTTTTTTCTTCTTTGCAAAAAAAAAGTAAAAACAATTTTGAAAAAGACAATGCAGGAGAACTCACATCACTTCACAACTTCCTATAAATTCACAATAATCAAGTTATTGGTGAAAGATGGCAGATATTCAGATAATGAAATAGTATAGAGAGTTTAGAAATAGATACAAGCATAAGTGGCAAATTGATCTTTGACAAAAGTGCCATGATAATTCAACAGAAGAGAACAATTTTCAAAAAATGGGCTGAAATAACTAGACATCTTTTTGCAAAACATTTTTAAAAAGAATTCAATCCATACTTTGCACTATATACAAAAATTAATGCAAAGAAATATAGAATTAAATGTAAACTTAGAGCTTCTAGTAGAAGGCATAGGAGAAATTTTTTCAAGTTCAGGTTAATTAAGATTTCTTAATTAAAAACTTCTTAAATATAAAAACATATGTTTAAAAATTATTTACTGCATTTCTTCAAGTTAAACTCTGCTCATCTAAACTTCTAAAAAGAATGTTAAGAGAATACAAGGTATACTGGAAGGCAGTATTTAGAAAACACATGTTTGAAAAAATATTAACATCCAAAATATATAAAGAGAGAACTCTCAGAGCTCAATAATAAGAAAATGAACAACCAATTAAAAATAGGCAAAATATTTAATCAATCTTTACCATAGGAGATCATATGAAAGGATGGTGCACATCATTTATTCATTAGAGATATACAAATATACCTTTATTATACCACACCTTTATTAAAAATAGATTAAAATTTTTTCAATATTAAAGTTAGTAAGACACTAGCAAATGGAATTTCCATACACTGCTAATAGAATGCAAAATGGTACAGCCACTTTGCAATATGGAATTATACCCAGAAGTCTGGACTTGCCAGAGCATTCAAGCTATTAGTTGTGGTATAGGTCACAAACACAGATCTATTTATTTCTTTCTGTTACTATGCTGTCTTTCTGCTAAAAAGTAAGGAATCAAACAAATGCATATACAATTGACACAGAACAATGACATCACTTACTCCTGGCATTAAATCCTGGGTAAAATGAACATGGCAGTGACAACAGTTTGCAAGATTACTTACTAAATCTGTGTGAGTTGCAGAAATTGACTACACAGTCCTAAGGTTCATGAGAAGCACTGCTACTTTCTCACTCTACCAACCTGTGCTCATAACCAGTGTGATCTGAGATCTACATTTGAAAGAGGCAGAAGTGGAGGGTCCACAATGTATCTCTATCAAGCTAGAATATAGGTGCAGCCCATAACAAAGAATTCTGAAATGAGAGATATACAGACTGGACTTCCAAGGGTCTGAGTTTTTATAAGGAAAAGTTGTATGTGTCTTTGGTTGTTGTTTCATTAGGTAGCAAGACAAGCTATCCTCTTCTCACAAATGAAGTGCATGAATCTGGAACAGTCAGAAGCAGACATCTTCATTGTTGCAATACGTGCACAGTTTCCTTTGTCTGACTCTTTCCAATCACTTAACATAAAATAAAAGCATATAAATAATGTAAAATAGACATTCACTAATGCAAACATAAAAAATATTGGTTCAAATTTAAGGTATATATATAGTTTTCTTTCCTTACAAGAAACTATCCCTTGGTGCCCTAAGTGTTAGTCACTCGGTCATGCCCAACTCTTTGCGACCCCATGGATTGCAGCCTGCCAGGCTCCTCTGTCCATGAGATTTTCCAGGCAAGAATAATGGAGTGTGTTGCCATTTCCTTCTCCAGGGGATCTTCCCAATCCAGGGATCAAACCTGGGTTTCCTACACTGCAGGCAGATTCTTTACCAACTTAGCTACAAGCCTTTCCTAAAGCTTACTTTTGAGGATTATAGCAGTCAAGCTGAAAAGCCTCCGTCTCTATATATACTCATTTTCTGAACTTAAATTCTTTGTATGTGTGTGTCTGTATGTACATGCAATGCTATTGTGTGTGCTCAGTCGCTAAGTCATGTCCGATTCTTTACAACCCCATGGGCAGTATCCTGCCAGCCTCCTCTGTTCATGGGATTTCCCAGGCAAGAATATTGCAGTGGGTTGCCATTCTCCAGGGGATCTTCCTGATCCAGGGATCAAACCTGTGTCTCCTGCATTACCAGTGGATTCTTTACCACTGAGCCACCTGTATATGCCCATATATGTATACATATTTGTCTATATATTGAAAGTGTGCATTTCCCTAAATACTTTTTGAAATGTAAACTAGAATATGGAACTTATTATTTACTATCTATTCTAGAGACTTACAATTTGAGAAAAGGCCTTGACTTATCTTCCCATGTCCATTGATTTCCAGTTCCTTCACGAGATAATCCAATCCAATAGAAATAGGATAGTTGGCTCTGAATGAAGTTCTGCAATAAAAAGAGATATATTCTATTAGGAAAAAAGTATTTTCATAATTCTGTAATGAAATAATAATCTTTTTAATATTTTATTATTTTGAGTAGCAAAAAGTATAAACTTCATCCTGAATCTGTTCAAATGATAAAATATTTGAATCTTAGTTATATTTGTTAAATATAGTGGCATAAATGAGACAAAAAATAACACTCTCTTAGTTTACCTATCTTTTTTTTTTTAAGATTTTTTGGATGTGGGTCACTTTTTTAAAGCTTTTTTTGAATGTGTTGCAAAATTGCTTCTGTCTTATGCTTTGGATTTTTAGCCAAGAGGCATGTGGGCTCTAAGCTCCCTGACCAGGGATCACATCCATACCTCAGGTGTTGGAAGGCAAAGTCTTAACCATTGGGCAACTGGGGAAGTCCTGTACCTATCTTATTTAACCCTCAGACTAAAATATCTTAATTTACTTTCAAAACTGACACTTGTAGCTCAAGAACAAAATTGATTTGTATTTTGAGGTCCAGGTGTGATAGATGTGAGGTTTTTACCAATGTCACTTAAATTTTTGTTTTACGATTACTGTGCTTATTTTTTTGAAGTGAACGTATTGAAGAAGTGGTCCTTATTCTACCAGATGAGATGTTTACACAGTTATCTTAAAATTAGTTGTAAGTACAAATGCAATTGAAGTTCATCTTGTAACTTAATTTTTACATGTATGCACATATATTGGGGCTTCCTTGGTGGCTCAGGGATAAAGAACCTGCCTGCTAATGAAGGAGATGAGGGTTTGATCCCTGGTTCTGGAAGATTCCTTAGAGAAGGAAATGGCCAAGCACCCAAGTACTCTTGCCTGGGAAATCCCAAGGATAGAGGAGACTGGCAGGGTTCACAAAGCAGTCAACATGACTTAGCAACTAAACAACAACAAACAACAACAATGCACATATATTACCTCATGTGATCTTCCTAAAATACCTTAGAAAGAAAATATAACCAGTTTTACTACAAGCAAAGTAATGTGTGAAAGGGAACTAAAGAGAGAGTTTATGACTATAAATTTCATATTTCCCTATTCTGTTTTAATTTTTACCCTTAGTTTGTTTTTAATTTCCTTTGTTTCTTTTACCATAGAGAATATGGCAAAAACTTAGTCTCTCTACCCAGAAAAAAATTACATATATATCATATATTTATAAGATTGACATTCAGTTTCATGGTTTCCATAGATGCTGTTATTTCTTGATGAAGATATCCTACATGAAAGATTAGGGCTTCTAGACTTAAAGCTAATTTTTGAGCCCACCAGGATCCTCTGTCCATAGAATCCTCCAGGCAAGAATACTGGAGAGGGAAAAAAAAAAAGAATACTGGAGTGGGTTGCCATTCCCTTCTCCAGGGGATCTTGCCGACCCAGGGATCGAATGCACATCTTCTGCATTGCAGGCAGATTATTTATTGTCTGAGTCGCCAGGGAAACCCCTTGGAATAAAAAGGAGGTTACTTCGGATCTACAAATGTCTTCTTTTTGGGTTTAGATTTGCTTTGTTTTCTTGATGGTTTTCAAGTTCATATTTTTATAGCTATTTATGAGTTGTTAAAAGCCAAGGATATAGGTAACTGTACAAATAACTGAGTGAGTCTTAGTGTCTATTTATCTGTGAGAGAATATTAAAAGATCCTCCTTAACTTTGAATGTAAGTATATATATATTTCTTGAAAGAATAATAGTGAATTATTTCTCTATTCAAATCAAGGATATTGATACGGATTATGAAATATTTAGTTCAATTTTCTTCAAAGTTCAGTTCAGTTCAGTTCAGTCACTCAGTCATGTCCGACTCTTTGCAACCCCATGAATCACAGCACGCCAGGCCTCCCTGTCCATCACCAACTCCCTGAGTTTACTCAAACCCATGTCCATCAAGTCAGTGATGCCATCCAGCCATCTCATCCTCTGTCGTTCCCTTCTCCTCCTGCCCCCAATCCCTCCCAGCATCAGGGTCTTTTCCAATGAGTCAACTCTTTGCATGAGGTGGCCAAAGTATTGAAGTTTCAGCTTCAGCATCAGCCCTTCTAATGAACACCCAGGACTGATCTTTAGGATGGACTGGTTGGCTCTCCTTGCAGTCCAAGGGACTCTCAAGAGTCTTCTCTAACATCACAGTTCAAAAGTATCAATTTTTCAGCGCTTAGCCTTCTTCACAGTCCAACTGTCACATCCATACATGACCACTGGAAAAACCATAGCCTTAGTATGAGTCAAAATTTAATATGAGTTGGAATTAATTGATCTTCAATTTAAAATTCATACTGAGTTCTTCCTTTTACCCTAAACTCAGTGGTATTGTTGTATTTCTTGATTTTGTTGAAGGTAAAATGACATTTTTTTCAGAGAGAAGCTACATTTCCATGAAATTATCAGTATGAAAATACAATTATCTAGGATAAAATGATATATTTTAAGCATATATTTTTCCAAATTGTTTCATGTTCCCCTTTACATTTGCTCTACTGGAAAAGTTATAACTGTGGATGAACTGGATGAATTAAATGAAATTTTAATTTCATTTCTACTTGTATTTCTGACCTTAAGATGAGAACCGTCTAGATCTGAATCAACTTACAACTGTAAACTATGGACACTCACATATTATCAAGCATTAAGATTTAGCTAACAGGACTTCCCCGGTGATCAAGTTGTTAAGAATCTGTCTGCCAATGCAGGGGACACATCTTGGATCCCCAGTCCAATAAGATTCCACCTGCAACAGACAAGTAAACCTATGCACTACAACTGCTGAGCCCAAGCTTTAGAGCCCATATTCCCAACAAGGGAAGTGACCTCAATAAGAAGCCCTGTCACCGCAGCTAGAATAAGCCCAAGGGTAGCAAGGAAGACCCAGCACAGCTTAAAAAAAAAATAGATTTAGGCAACAACTAATGGCTAGATGGCCAGATGAATACAGGGTGAGATGGAAAACAGAAATACATCACCAGTTCTTCCTCATCTTCTATCTTAAGAAGTGTGGAGCCCATTTCCTTGCAGATTTTTTTACTGTCTTCAAAGTTCTTCAATTCATCCGAAAAATAGTAACATTTCTGTCCACAACAGGACCATTTACTTTTACATTTCTTTCCTTGAAAACAAAAGAGTGTTTTGTGTCTGGAGACCATTCAGTGTGTATCTTGAAAGGAATGCTCTGGAACTTAGCTACTGAGGAATCCTTTCTAGTCCTTGTAAAACCATTGGTTTCATGAGATGGATGGACTTCATTTCTAAGTTCCTGGCCTTAGGGAGATGACTTACATCCCTTCAAATCTATGCATAATACTATTAAAATTCTCTAGGAAATATATCTTAGAATATTGATTTTTTTTTCACAATCTCTACAGATAGAAGTTCACAAGGGAAAGCAACTTCTTTGTATTCTCTGAAAGAAAGAAAGTGAAAGCTGCTCAGTCATGTCTGACTCTTTGCGACTCTGTGAACTATACAGTCCATGGAATTCTCCAGGTCAGAATACTGGAGTGGATAGCCTTTCCCTTCTCCAGGCCATCTCCTCAACCCAGGGATAGAACCCAGGTCTCCCGCATTGCAGGCGGATTCTTTACCAGCTGAGCCACAAAGGAAGCATTCTCTAGACTAAGTAAATTCTATAGGTACAGAGCTGATCTTAACTTAGCATTGATACATTGTACCTGTTTATGTATATCAGGTACATAAACCTAGTACCTGATTTACATATCCACAAGAGATCATATAATAATGATTAGAGAATGTGCTGAAGGAGAGGTAGAACTTTTTGGTAGAAAAAGTATTATTTTGTGAAACAGTGATTTAAAAGAATGTATCATGTATACAGAAGAATTTAACCACTGGGAAAGACTGAGTTTTTTTTTTTCCCCCAATTAAATGAAATGAAAGTTGGACTCCACAATTGGCTGATTCTAAAATAAAATCCAATTTGAGCAGATTATCACTTGATTGAGAGAAGCAGAGAAGAAACTTGTCTGTCTCAGTCTTTATGTCTACATACCTGTGTTAAGTGGTTTCTCTTTGAGAGTCATGGTTTTAGATGTGGAATTTTCTTGTGTTCCATTGTCCAGTGGAGGCTCTGGTAATCGACCCTGGAAAACTTTACTGTACATCATTAGCTCTAGGAAAGCATAACATGGGGCAGACTAATAGGCATAATTTAAATTTTAATATGTCAGTTAATGTTCAGGAGTTTTATTCCTGTGCTTTTTAGAGAGATAACACCATATAGGAAGACAAAAAATTACATCATAAAAAAACCTTTGGGAATGCTAAGATATTTGGATTTTTAAGGTAAAGCTTGTGATCTCAACACTAGCAATGGCTAATCTGAAAATAACATTAAGAAAAATGTTCCATTTATAATAGCATCAAAAACAATAAAATATTCAGGAATACATTTAACAAACATGTGTAACACATGTACTTTAAAAAGAAAATCATTAAAAATTAAAGACCTAAATAAATGGAAAGATACCTCATATTCACCTTACATCACATGTGAAAATTAACTCAAAATGGATCAAACACACACATGAAGAAGTTAAAATTATGACATTAGATAACATAGGTGAAAGTTGTGACCCTGGATTAGGCAATGGTTTCTTAAATATGATATCAAAAACACAAGTGATCAAAGTAAGAGTATACTGGGCTTCATCAAAATTAAAACTTTTACACATGAAAAGTTACTATGAGAGTGAAAAGTAATACAAATAATGGGAAAAATATTTACAAATTATATATCTGATAAAAGATTAATATATAGATTAATTATATCCATACAGTGGATTATTTTTTGGCAATTAGAGGGAATGCTATGTTGGTATATCCTATCATGAATGACCCTTGGAAGTATCATATTAAGTGAAAGAAGCCAGTCACAGAAGACCATGTATTATATGATTCCACGTTTAAGAAATGTCCAGAATAGGAAAATCTGGAGAGACATAAAATAGGTTACTGGTTGCTTTAGGCTAGCAAATTTTGAGAAAAATGGGAAGCAATAGCTAATGAGTGTGAGATTTCTTTCTGGAGTAAGGAAAATGCTCTAATATTGACAAAAGTTAGGCTTCCCTGGTGGCTCAGATGGTAAAGAATTTGCCTGCAATGCAGAATACCTGGGTTTGATCCCTGGATCTGGAAAATCCCCAGGAGAAGGAAACGGCAACCCTCTCCAGTATTTTTGTCTGGGAAGTCCCATGGACAGAATAGCCTGGTTGCCCACAGCTCATGGGGGTCACAAAGCATTAGACATAACTGAATGGTGAACAGTTTGATTCATGGTTGTGCACCTCTGAATATACTTGAAGTCACTGAATTTTACTCAGTAAAAGTGGGAGTATATGGCCGGAGAATTGTATGTTAATAGAAGTAATATACATCTGTTATATACATGATTATATGTATACACACAGGCATACAATGCAAAGAGTTTGGTTTATCAGTAAATGCTGCAGAGGATGTGGAGAAAAGGGAACCCTCTTGCACTATTGGCAGGAATGTAGATTGATACAGTCTCTGTGGAGAACAGTATGGAGAGTCCTTAAGAAAACTAGGAATAAAACTATCATATGAAACAGCAATCCCAGTACTGGGCATACACCCTGAGAAAACCATAATTCAAAAAGACACATGTACCCCAATGTTCATTGCAGCACTATTTGTAATATTCAGGACAAGGAAGCAATGTAGATGTCCATTGACAGATGAGTGGATAAAGAAGTTGTGGTACATATAAACATAGAATACTACTTAGCCATAAAAATGGATGAATTTGAGTCAATTAAACTGAGGTGGACAAACATAGAGCCTGTTATGCAGAGTGAAGTAAGTCAGAAAGAGAAAAGCAAATATCACATATTAATGCATATATATGGAATCTTAAAAAAATGGTACTGATGAACCTATTTGCTGGGCAGGAATAGAGATGCAGAGGTAGAGAACGGACGTGTGGACACAGAAGAGAAGCGGGGAGTTGGACTAATTGGGAGATTAGGGCTGACAAATATACATTACCATGTATAAAACAGCTAGTGAGAACTTGTCATAGAGCATAGCAAACTTAGCCTGGTGCTCTGTGATGACCTAGATGGGTGGGATGGAGGTCCAAGGGGGAGGGTATGTATCTATACATATAGCTGATTCACTTCATTGTATAGCAGAACATAAAACAACTTTGTAAAGCAATTTATACCCCAATAGAAAATAATAGTAAAAGTCACAAAATGAGTTTTATACAGAGAACTGATGTCAAGTTAGGGAATTAGAAAATACATCATGGATGATTTAGAAGTCATCCATGTCCTATGGGAGGGGCCTTGAGGGATGTCTAAAATGTCCATAGGCAGAGGCAGGCTACATGAGGAAGGCTGTCCAGATGAAGAGAATAGCATAAACAAACGTGCTGTGGCAGAGAGACTTAGAGAACCTGTAGGGACCAGAAAATGATCTAAAGTTATCTGAAGCCAATTTGGACATAGGGAGGAAAGCTCAAAATCATTTGGTTGAAATAAAACTGTGATTCACAAAAGCAAATAGAAGTAGGGGGATTCCAACATAACTCAGTACAGGATGAGAGAGTTTCTTGGCATTTTGGTGACATGATCATAGATATACTTGGAGAAGTTTATCTGGCAATTGCAATAGAATTTTGAAAGTCTGTTGACTTTAGGAAGTGACTGTAATAGTATAGGAGAAAAAGCATTGTTGGGTTGTATTAGGTGTTTGTGAGAATAAACAATTTAAAAAAGTAAATTTGAACTGCAGAATGGAGATTGCAGGAGGATTGGACCATTTATGAAAGGCCAGAGAGTACAGAGAAATTAATGTTCACAAAGTATGATCAGTTATCAATAAAATCTGAAATATAGTCTTTCCTGGAAGTGTCCTGAATATGATCCAGACTGTGTCAGTAAAGAAGACATTAGAAACTTTTGAGGAATTTGGTAATTGTCCATGTGATTATATTAATGGTGATGGTGGAAAGGTTTCTTGGGTAACACTGGAGATCACAGCTTTGGAACTACTAGGAAAAGAAGACTGGTAAAAATAGTAATTTCCAAGGGAGGAGACATTTGGTTCAGGGCACAAGGCTTGTTTAACTTACCCATAAATCCTAAGATTCCTGTGGTTAAAAGGAGAAGGAAACAGAAGATTCCGAGAATCACTACCGTGAAAAGCCAAGGAAATGGAACTGAAGACCCTGTCCAGAGGGGAAAAAAAAAGAGGCTGAGGAGATCAGCAGAGGAAAGATTAAGTTACAGAGCAGGGTTTAGAGGGAGATGTTCCATAAATTCAAGACCTAACTCTTGAATGTCTTCAAACTTGAAATTATAAATTGAAAGGGAGAATGAGCAATTTGAAACATCAGTGAACTGAGAGTTATTCTGTTCTGTTAACATGTATCTCTTAGGAAAGTCACTTATTCTAACTTTATCAAAATAATCCTGTGATTCATCTCTATGATTTATGAATACAAAGTAAATATCAAAAATGGGTATCTGGTTTTTGAAATACAAACATACTTCTAAAACATATCTGTATAAGTCAATTTTATTGACCCATGTCAGAGTATATTTATAATTTTGTAAATGTTGTGTGTTTTCATGCATACAAAGCATATATATATATATATATAAATACCCATCATTTTCTCATTGGAACTTTGCTATAGTTTCAGCAGTAGAAGAAATTATAACTCCAACATGTATCAGATAATGTTAATCATGCATTGTTTCTTGAAACTTCATAGAACAAGTGGATAATGACACCAGGAGAATCACAATTGTTTCCAAACAAATTGAAAAGAATGAATTTTCCCACTTGATTGCTCAGGTACAAATTTATGTATATAGCACCCAAACTACATTAATTATCTGCAATATACTAAATATGGACATTTCATTTTCAATACTACTTTTTTTGTTTAGGTTATAGGATATAGTTTAGGTAGCCTCATGAAACTGGGCAGGCTTAATAATTTGGTACCACAATAAACTGAGCAAGTGGAGGACATGTAAGCTAGGTCAGTTTCCCCCGTGGTCAGTGGTAAAGTATCCACCTGCCAAGCAGGAGACGCAGGTTTGATTCCTGGTTTGAGAAGGAAATGGCAGCCCACTCCAGTACTCTTGCCTGGGAAATCCCATGGACAGAGGAGCCTGGTGGGCTACAGTCCAAGGGGTCGCAAAAGAGTCTTACATGACTTAGTGACTAAACAACAACAATCTAGGCCTCTACATAAACTTTACCTTTTTCTTTATGTGATTCAGGTCTTTTTATCTTTGTCTGGTTGGACTGTGGAGTGACTGTTTTCACTTCTGTGTAAATTAGCTGCTCTTTTGTCTCTGGAGATTAAAAGAGAAATCTTTTAATACTCACACTATTTCTCAGAAAACATGTAGGTTATAAATATGTTTGAATAGAGTTGACAAAGTTTTTTTTTCCAAATAAAGGAGATTTATGCAATTTTTTCTTCTTACTATGTAAAGTCCACTAGGTAAATCTTTTAAATGACAAAATCTTGAGAATGAGTTAGACATAAGGTGTCATATGCTAAATTAAAATGAAATTCCTTATAAAAATTATTTACCAAGGGAAAGAATAATACATAATTCAGTAGAGATTGGGAAAAAAAAAAACACTCACTTTCTTTTCGTGCTGGCTTTTTGGAAGGAGTGTGTTTCACCGTTGCATATGTTGCATTTTTTCCACTCATCTCTAAAAAATTTTAATAACAATTCCAAGACACATAAATCTACAGTTTTGTTTTTTTTTAAACTAAGTTTTCAGGTTCTATCTGGGTTCTTTGTGTATTACTGACATCATGATTTCATGCCATTTAATTACTGATTCATGATTTTACTTTTGCAATTTTCTTTTAAGAAAGATTTTTATCTCAGATTATTTTATTTCCCATTCTTAAAATTATCAGTTAACATCTCTTTAGATATCATTTCACCTATTACCTGGAGTTCTCTAAATGTGGTCTATAGTTCAACTTTAAAAGGGTAACAGTGCTATGATATATTAAATATTCATACTACACTTAAAAACTGTCTCTATCCAGAAAAATGCCAGTAGAATTTTTGAGTCATTTTGTATTGTAAAGATAGTGTAACATAATGTATTCTAAAATTTCTTTCCACAGTTCTCCTGATATTTTTCTATCTTTTTATCTTCATTCTTTTTTCATGATTAAAGGCAATTCACTTCCCATTATCTCTGAAAGAACCTCTTCCAACAAGTTTTTAAAAATGAAAGTCCTAGAATTGTGGTTCGAATTGGTTTATTTGTAATCAAATAATCATGTAGGGTGTGTGGCATTATGTCCATAATATTTGAAGATATAGGTTAAAAGCAACTAATTTTCCTTGAAATAAATTAATATTCATACATAAGTACTTATATTAATATATTTATATGAAATTAATGTTACTATTTGCAATTTTTGAAAAGTTAATTTACTTCAAATAGTTTAAATTTAATTTTGATAATAGCAACAATGTTCTATTTAATAGAATTCTGATAACAAGCAAATTAAAAATTCTTATGTTCACTAGTTTGCCAATGTGTCATCAAATATTTTTTATATATTTTAATTTCCTCATAGAATTATGCTCCATTGTTATCTTTTACAATATGATTAAAATATATAGGCCTCTGTGTTCATAATATTCACTTATAGCATTTAAAATTTCCTAAAGATAATTTCTCATAAGACAACACAGTTGCACAGAAATAGATTAATAATGCTTTTAAAAATTCTTTACCAGATTTGGAATATATGAGGAATATGGAAGCTACATCACATATATAAGAAAATTCTGGATGTAGGTGTGAAATAGAGATACACACTGTTATACAGACAAGAACAATTGATCACTGATTAAATAATTATTTTATTACTCATATCCTGCCTTCATTGATGTGATCATTTGGTCTATCCACTCAGTTAATCCAAGAGATATATTGAAATATTGGCTAACAACACTATTGGTTGTATTCAATGGTAAACCATGAAAAAATATAAGGTAATTTACCTTGCAAAATAATTTTTAAATCTGAATGATTTAGCTCTTTTTCCTACAAGATTAAATTTACTGAATTACTTTTTAAAATCTCTATTCTTTGTGCTCCATATATGCAGTCAAGTAGCACTGGTTATAATGATATATACTGAGATAAACAGCTAAAGGTGTAGTTGGTGATACCTGTGTTAGTTCGGTGATTTCTGCTGAAGTCTGGTCCAAAGAGAAAAGGCAAACCCCAGTGGGCGAATGGTACAGATGTGTGAGCTGGACCCAGGATGGCTCTTCTGTCTGACTTACTTCACTCAGTATGAGTTTCTAAGTCCAATCAGCTGTACTCCAATACAAAATAAAAAGGTTTAAAAAAAAAAGATAGTTCTTCTGGGATCTAAATATGACTGGTTCTTGCTCCAAAGGAGCTTCAGTATTTGCCAGCTCCTTGTGAAGATGTGAGAAAGCAGCTCTATTTGAACTTAAGTCTTTACCATTTGCATTTTTTTAAATAGAGAAAGGTGGTATTTTAACAGGGCAGATGACTGAGAAAAATAATTTAAAGGGCCATACCCATTTTGCACAGAATGTAAACACTGTGTGTTTAAGAAAAAGGGGTGGGGGGAGGTCATCAACACCACTATGACCACCACCAAATGCTAGGATTCTAAATATAATCCCTATATCAAACACTAGTTTGGGCTTCAGACACTAGTTTGGGCTTTAAATAGCAACTGTACATAATGATATATTTAAATTCATCTTCTAAACTACACTAGTGTTAACGCAGTGAAAATATATGAATGCTAATAGTCCATGTTTCTTCACATTGTTCTGAAGGGGATTTTAAATAATACATTTTAAGATGTTAAGATTTATTAGCTGGAGAGGCAGTCAACCCCTGGTTCTCTTAAAATATACCTAAATTCAACTGCTTTATTTTTTGAAACATTTTTTCCAGCACATTAATTTTTTTATAGTTTGCTTTTCAGTTCATTCCAATACAAGTATACACTATAATCTCTAAATATACTCTACATACAAGCTTCAGGTTTTGAGATTTTATATTTCATTCCCCTTCAGTCTGTACTCTAATTATAAAGAGTAGAAATATATTGGCTTACCCTCTTAAGTAAGGGTGTTATTCGTTCAGTTGTGTCCAACTCTTTGCAAATCCATGAACTGCAGCCTGCCAGGCTCCTCTGTCCATGGAATTCTCCAGGCAAGAATACCAGATTGGGTTGCTATTCCCTTCTCCAGGGGATCTTCCCAACCCAGAGATCAATCCCTGGTCTCCTGCATTGTAGGCAGATTCTTTACCGTCTGATATACCTTACCCTCTTAGTGGTAAAGAATCCACTTGACAATAAAGGAGACACAAGAAATGTGGGTTTGATCTTCCCTGAATCGAGAAGACCCCCTGGAGAAGGAAATGTCAACCACTCCAGTATTGTTGCCTGGAAAATTCCATGGACAGAGGAGCCTGGTGGGCTACAGTCTATGAGGTTACAATGAGTTGGATGCGACTGAGCACACACACACACACACACACACACGCACAGGAACATGCACACACACACACACACCCTCTTAGTAGTCTAAAGTAGCAGCTCCAATAGTGTAATGAATAACGATGGTAATGCAGTTTAAGTACATGAGTTTTAACTCAATAGAAAAAGACAGTTTTATCTGTTGTCATCATTCAATAATAATAAAAAGCACAATAAGAAATGTATTTCAATTGTGGATTTCATTCATATATATATATATTAAAAAAAAAAAACATTTGGGAGTGGTGCATTTGTAAGAGTTTTCCATTAAGCTCCAGTATGGAGAAATGATGATAAAAGGAAAACTATTTTGATATCAAAACAATTTGTTACTAAATTTTCAAACAGAATGAGCGTAATTAAAAAGTAACTCTATGTAGGCTGTAAAAGAGGAATGTTATTTATCTTCTGGTTATATGTTCTTTGGGGCTTTGTAATAGTCCCTTCTTACTTTTGTCTTGTTCACTTCAATTGCTATGTGTGTGTGTGTGTTAGTTGCTCAGTCCTGTCTGACTCTGCAACCCAATGAACTGTAGCTAGCCTGGCTCCTCTGTCCATGGTGTTTCCCAGGCAAGAATACTGGAGTCGGTTGCCATTTCCTACTCAACTGCAATAGACTTCATCTAAAACAACCATCTGGTAAGCTCAACACTCAACACCATGTAATTGTAATACTAGAACCTGAAAACATTTGTGTAGGCCTTAGCTTCTCACATTTGCAAGTCCATCAAATATTTCCACTTCTTCCTGATCACTAATTCCTCCACTTAACCAAAAAATCAAGTCTCTCACGCACTTCTTGAGCATTTTTCTTTAAAATATTATACCTCTCTACAGAAATTTCTTTTTTAACCAATGATATAATGTGCCCATTATTTCTAAATGTCACTAATTCCTTAATCTTCCATATTTAACATAGTTCTCTTAGTCTTTACTATGATTGCGCTTCACCATACAAATTGACTTCTCCAAATTTAAAAATTAAATTTACCTATATTACTGAATATTTTACTGCACTGTGCTAAGCACTTTTCAGATATTACTTCATTTAATCCTGAAAGGATTTGAAATTTATAAAAAATAAATATCAAGTTTTTTTTTATAAGGTGATAATACAATCTAACAGGTACTGTTAACTTTTTGTTGGCTTTTCTTTTGTCTTAATTTCAAGAACACAATCATGTAGAAAAACACAAACACATTCACAACTGACAGAATATTGAACAGCCTGTTATTTCATATAAGCCTCAGTTTTTAGTTAGCACCAAAAAAAAAAACCAAGCTCAAAAAACTCAAAATTTCAAAATACGGAAAAGAGGATGATGCTAAAATAATGTTAGCATTGGAAAACTAGTATTTGCCATCTGCGAAGTATACTTCTTGAAAATAATCTTGGTGATATCACATTTTTCAAAATATTATGTATTCTCTATTTCTCCTATTATAGAAATTAAAAATCGATATGTATTTTCTGACTTTCTTTATACACAGAGCACATTGGAAGTGTATTTTGCTTTCTGTCCTGGTATTTGAATAATATGAGCTAACAGGTAACAATTATTAGTATTCAGAAATATTTTTACCATGTAAGCAGGGTTCAAGCAAAACTTTAACAAGACAATAATTGCTCAAAAATATTTAAATATTAGTCAGAGCCCCTGTTTGAGTTTCCTGAGCCATACAGCAAATTTCTGTTGGCTATCTATTTTACATATGGTAATGCAAGTTTCCATGTTACTCTTTCCATATACCTCACCCTCTCCTCACCTCTCTCCATGTCCATAAGTCTATTCTTTATGCCTGTTTCTCCATTGCTGCCCTATAAATAAGTTCTTCAGGGAAATGGGAGGGAAGTTCAAAGGGGAGGGGATATATATAAACCTATGTCTGATTCATGTTGAGGTTTGAAACAAAACAGCAAAATTCGGTAAAGCAATTATCCTTCAATAAAAAAATAAGTAAAGAAATTAAAAAGCTAAAAAATATAAATATTAGTCAAAGAGAAACATTTTTGGGATTTCATCACTCCTTTCATTAATGTGCTTTTCAAATTTTTTCTTTTTGCTTTTTCATTTTTCTCAAAAAATTTTACTCTGTATTGGAGTAAGCTAACAGTATTGTGATAGTTTCAGGTGACAGCAACGGGA